AAGATAACAGAATAACGGGGTTTTAACAAATTGTGTTGTTAAATAGCCAAAGAAAAATAGATAATTTAACCCTTTAACTGAGGCCTATGAGACTTGAACTCATAAATATTGATTAAAAGTCAAATGTTTTAACCGATTAAACTAAGGCCCCTCAACTTTAAACCTATTGCCTATTATAAGGAAATATATTTAAATCTTTGATCCCGCACCACCGCGGCCGGGATCTACCCGGGGTTTTATTATAATTTTTTTAAGAAAAGACGTATAATAAATAAATTTACATATCTAGGTAAAATATATTTACTTAATAAGAAAACTAAAAATGTTAATAAGATAAAAACAAATACTGTTTGATTAAAGAAAAAAAAAGGAGTTAATTGTGGCATTTAATAAATAATATTAAAAATTGAATTATATCTTTTATAATAAAATAATTTTATTCCCGAAAGGAAATTCGCTTTCTCTACCCGAGAAATAATCTTTCTAATAGAATAGTATATACATTAACTATTGGTATAATAACTAATATATTATATATATCCCCCCCCCCCCCTAACCATCCGGTTATTCCCCTGATGGAACTCTCCCACATAAAAATATATATTAATGTGTTAAATTAACAACCTCAATAATATATAGAAATATATAAGAATAATCATACAACATCAACAAACAAACTTAAATATCTTTATGATAATATTTTATATATCTTATATAACAATGGAATAATAATTATCATTAAATATAATTTTATTGCCTTTAATCTTTGATAAACAACCGTACGAGAAACATAAGAATTTAGCAGACGTAGTTGAAGCAAAAGATTTAAATACACAACCTGCCTCATCCAAAAGTTCCACAGAAGGATGTTTACCACTATCCTTAGACCTATTTAATAAAAGTATGAAGTTTCTACCATTTCTGATTTCAAAATTTCCCCTCACGGCATTGCCGCGAGGGGGGGGGACGAAGGAGCTAAAAGTAATATATTAATTTTACTAATTAGTTCCTTTCTATCAATTTTAACATAGGAGGAATAAGTAGAAAGCCGATAATTATTCATTTGTGCTAATAATTGGTTTAAAAGAAATTGACCCTCTTCATGATAATGGTGGCCCTTAGCTTTTAACTTATAAATAGTAACTCAATCCAAAAAATCTAGGTTTTTTTTTAGAATATCAACTAAGAGATTATAAAAATAAAAACATTAATAATATAAGTTTTTTGAGTAATAACTAAGCCAATTACTTTTTTATGATTAGCAGCCCTTGGGTGTATAATTCTTCTCCTTAACAACATTTGTTGTTGCTCCTGGTAAATTATTAAGGAATTTTTTAATAGCTTCCATTAAAATTTTATCAAAGATTGGCTTAAAGAAAAAGCTAATTCAAATTTACCAGAACCTCTCAGCACAGAAAAAGAACCTCGCGCGGTGAGATCATCTCGCCCAATAAAGCGCGATCCAGGTCGCAGTCAATTTCGCGGGCGCGCGAAGTCAGTATGTCGCCTGCAAAAC